GTACTAGCCATACCCAATGACAACGACCCATATCGAGTAGAATGCGACGCCTCGGACTTTGCCATAGGAGCGGAATTAGCCCAGAAGCAAGACGGCAAATGGAAGCCTGTTGCTTATCTGTCAAAAGCCATGACAGCTGCCGAAAGGAATTACGAGATTTACGATAAGGAACTTCTCGCAATCATGACTAGTCTTGATGAATGGCGTCAGTACCTTATGGGCGCCGTACATCCGTTTGAAATATGGACGGATCACAAGAATCTAGAATACTTCCGGAAGCCGCAGAAGCTCAACCGACGACAAGCCCGATGGGTAACCGAGCTAGCTGAATATCAATATTCGCTACATCACAAGCCCGGTAAATCTAATGGCAAAGCCGACGGACTATCTCGCCAAAAGAGGCACAATGCAGGAAAAGAGGACAATTCCGATATCGTATTACTAAAACCAGAACATTTCCGTGCCTTGATTCATAGTACTGTATTTAGTTTAGAAGGAATCGACCAGGACTGGGTCGCAGAAATTAAAAAACACAAAAAGAACCGAGATTCGTTAGTTACCGTAGCTCTACAGAACAAGGACAAAGACTGGAACGAAGATAGTACCGGACTTGTGACATGGAAGAATTGTATTTACGTACCAGTAAATAGAAAACTCTGTGAGCAAATCATTGCTCATCACCACGATACCCCATTGGCTGGACATCCTGGTCAATACAAGACACATGAGATGGTCACACGTAACTACTGGTGGCCCCGAATTCGAGAAGACATCCGAAAATATGTGGCTGGATGCGAGAAATGCCAAAAGACCAAGGTTCATACAACGCGTCCTACCGGACTTCTATTCCCCAACGAAATTCCTTCACGACCCTGGGAAGTAATCTCCGTTGACAAGATAGGCGTATTGCCGGACTCCTTCGGATACAACGCTATCCTCGTAATTGTCTGCATGTACTCTAAGCAGATAATCGCGATACCAAGCACCATTGAGCTTAACGCCGAAGGATGGGCAAAGGCACTCCGAGATAACGTAGTCGCACATCATGGATTACCCCGAAAGATCATCAGCGATAGGGGAACTGAATTCAAGAATCAGTTCATCTCCGAGTTGTACCGATCACTCGGAATCGAAGCCAACCCTTCAACCGCGTATCACCCTCAGACAGACGGACAAACGGAACGCATCAATCGCGAAATAGAACAGTATCTCCGATTATTCATCAACTACCGACAAGCGGATTGGGCCGAATGGTTGCCGCTCGCAACCTTTTCGTATAACAATAAAGTCCACTCGTCCACCGGGTATACTCCGTTCTTCGTCAATAAAGGGTATCATCCTTACGAAGGAATCCAACCGGTGCGGGAAGGACTAAGCGAAAATGTCCAACAGTTTGTCGATAGAATGGATCGCGTACGCGAGGACACTAGCGCCGCTATCAGTCTAGCGCAGGAGACAATGAAACGTTTCTACGACCGAAAGAGGAAGAACGGACCAGAATACAAAGAGGGGGATAAAGTTTGGCTAGAAGGGATAAACATCCGAACAGATAGGCCAATGAAGAAGCTCGACGATAAGCGATATGGACCTTTTAAGGTCAAATGCAAAGTCGGAGCTTCTGCCTACGAGTTGGAACTCCCACGTCAATGGAAACAACATCCCGTTTTCAACGAAAGTCTACTTAGTCCTTTCAAAGAACCCGTATATCCATCACAACGACGAGAACCGATAGTCCCTGACCTTGTAAATGGCGAGGAAGAATGGGAAGTCGAAGACATTCTTGACTCTCGACGTGATAGAAATGGAAATCTTGAATATCAGGTTCTTTGGAAGAATAGTCCCCACGGTGATCGCCGTTCCTGGGAATCACGAGCGAACTTGACCAATTGTCAAGAACTCCTGGAGGAATTCCACGCTAGACACCCCGACAAACCTGCGCCTATGATAATCCGAATCCCCCCTCTATTAACACGACCTGTCCACATACTTGCACGCGATTCCACTCTTTTGGTACAACGAATGGGTGGAATTCTCCCGAAGCAAGGATCCGAAGAGTCGGCTGGGTTGGATCTCTATTCGGCTGAAAGCACTAAGATACCAGCACGAGGTCGCAAACTCGTCGGCACCGGTATAGCAATGCGCGCACCTCACGGAACGTATGCACGAATTGCTCCGCGAAGTGGGTTAGCAGTCAAAGGGATAGATGTCGGCGCTGGAGTAGTAGACCGAGATTACACCGGAGAAGTACGCGTAATGATGATCAACTCCACGGATCAACCTTTTCAAATACACGCTGGCGATCGGATCGCACAAGTCATTTTGGAACGCATTGCGTCATGTGATATCGAGGAGGTGTCAAGTTTGACAGAGACTCAACGAGGATCAGGAGGATTTGGATCGACGGGTAAATAATCGTGAGGACACGATTCTAGACGGGGGGGTAATGTCATGAATATTACACAATCCGGATGGTTCTCCCGGATTCCATGGTATTCTTTCACTTTCTACACACCTCCGTATATTCGTAGGATATTCTAGGTATTCAGTCTGACATGTATATAAGGAGCCTGCACTGCTCAATAACAAGCCAGACTTGAGCTGGTCTTTCCTCACCTATTTTCCTCTCGTCTGTCTCCTCAGCTTCGTCGTAGCCCAGTCCAGTTGGATTGTAGGTTGCTGACAGAGGGTTACCAGCCTATCGATCCCATTCTAGCTTTGTCTCTGCACAGCGCGTTTGTCACGAAGTTCATCAAGCTGTGGCCTTGCTGGATGGTGCATCATGCCAACTGCTCCGCTCGCATACGCCGGTCGGTCTCGCAGACCTTGAAGCGCTAGGGGCTAATAAGGTCGGAGGAGAACCCGTTAGGCACTGTTTGTGGACCACAGCTACCTAGCGGCCCGCCTGGGGGTTTGAAAAGTGAGATTAGCCTCAAGTGTCAAGTCCGCTTCATTCCCCTGAGAGATCTCTACCTGCGCAAACAGATATGTTCCTTGCAGCCTCGAATAGCTCAGACGCCAAAGCAAACTCTGATTTGGAGACGCAGCAGACCCCTTGAGGACGACGACAATAGTGTGCCGACCCTGTTCTTGAAAGCTTGAAGGCCAGCGAGCCTGACGACTGGCCGTTCTCAGCTGCCCCGCAGCCTGTTGCTCCATCCGGTATCCGCCACGACCGAACCTCTTGTAGCTTAGATCATACATTTTTCTTATTGTAGTATTCTGTACACTGGTACTCAGCGCTCAGCTCGCACTTCTACTGTAGCGGAGTGAACGGTACAAACCGGCCTGGGAGGCGTGACAGCTTAACTTGCCCTCCATGCTACAAACCGCCGTCGTGTTATGCGTGACATGTCTGTTTACAGGGCAAAATATTGGCGAATTAGGTACTTCTGACAATCCTACGTGCAAATACAGCCTTGTTGAAAGCCTGGAATCATTCAAAAGGCCATAGAAAGAGCCATACTGCCCATTCGAACCAGCTTGGGCACCCCCTTGATAAGCCATGACGCGTGATAAGGGGACTCAAATTACAAACCGGTGCGGGGATGCGTTATGCGTTACGGTTTGTACC